ACGCCCCCATGGCCACCCCGCCGCCCAGTTCTCCGCCCTGGGTGTCGGCTGCGCCGGCGCCGCCGTGCTGCTCTACGAGGGCGTGCGCGTCAGCGAGACGGCGCTGCGCCCGCTGCCGCGCTGGGTCTCGGCGCCGCTGGGCGGCGCCGTCTGCGGGTTCATCGCCTTCAGGTTCCCCTCGGTGAGCCCGGGGCGCCGCGCGGCCTTGGGTGGGCCGCTCCTGGCACGCCCCGGCGTTTTGTGGGCACTGCAGCGATGGGCGCGATACGCGCCCCGCGCGCGCGGCCGCCACTCCACATGTGCTCAGCACCTGCGCATACCGGCCCTCTACAGTCTAAGGGTTGGCCTAGGGTTCAAGTTCAGGGTTTGGAGCTCTCTCCACACACCCGGTTGCTCATCTGTCGCACTGCAATTTCAAAATCGTCCACCTTGTCGTCAGGTCCAATTCGGCTACACGAGCCTTGAGGAGATCTTCCGGGACGAGAGCCGCGCCAGCGTGACGGACCTCACCTCCCTGCTGTTCGCCAAGATCGCCGCCACCAGCATCTGCGCCGGCGCGGGGCTGGTGCGCGCCAATCCTCGCCCGCTCACCACTTTGGGGGCGGCCGCCCGCTGCGTCTGCAGAGGGTTGCATGAGTGATTGAGTTAGGGAAACGTTGGTTGGTTTTGAGCGTATGTTGATGCTGGCTACGGATGACGTGTGTGTTCGTGTACGTATTGCGCATGCATGTGTGCTTTCACGCACGCTGTGTGCGCACGCGCATGCGCACACACGCCTGTTTGTGTTCATGTGTGTGCATGTGTGTGCGTGCTGTCTGGACCGTTCCCTCTCTCGTTGCCGACCCTCTCTGCCACGCGTGCGTGCGTGCAGGTGGGCGGCCTGTTCCAGCCGTCCCTGTTTCTCGGGGCCCTGGTCGGCGACATCGCGTCGCACGTCGTGGCCGGCCCCTGGGGCGTGGTCGACCCGACCACCTTCACCGTCGTCGGCGCGGCGGCGGTGCTGGGCGCGGCCTGCAGGGCGCCGCTTACGGCGATCGCACTGATGGTGGAGATCACGCAGTGAGCAGCGGGCGCGCGGCAGCGGGCGCGCGGGGGCGGGTCGCCCGGACCGCTCCGCTCGGCCCCGTTTGCGGTCGCGTGACCTCCGACCGCGCTGCCCGTTACTTCAAGCTGTGCCCGATGGCGCCGCAGCAGCTGGCCGCGTGAGCCCGCTCTGTGGGGCGCAGGACGCGTTTGCCATCGTGAGGGCCCGTCACCAGTGGCGCCATCCTCACAAACTGCCAATCGCGCGCTTCCCCATCCAACGTGCCCGCGCCCACGCGCCCGCACCACCCCTGCTCGCCCCTCAAAGGGACGTCGGGCTGCTCGTACCGCTCCTAGCCGCCATCGGCGTGGCATCCGTCGTGTCGGAGTACGGGGAGGGCGTACTGGGCCGCCAGCTGGACCGCCTGCTGGCGCAAGGCTTCTTCGCCGAGGCGTACAACTTCTGGGGCGCGGCCGCGGGCGGCGGCGCGGCCGCGGCCGCGGCGCCCGCGGCGCCGGAGGTGAAGCCGTGGCGGGCTGGGCCTCTGCCCGGGGACTTCTGTGTGCTCCGCCGCCGGGCCCATGTCTTTGTCCCATCAATCAAGAGGTCCCTTCCTTCCTCAATGTTTTCCACGATTGGCACACACAAGAGACACACACACACACACTCTCTCTCTTCCATACATTCACACAAATTAGATCACAAATAAACAAACAAACACACACACACACACACACATGATCACACACACAACACACACGCACACAGGTGCGCACCGTGGAGGAGGTTATCAGCACGCCCGCGCGGCTGTACGTGCGCCACACTCTGCCGCTGGAGCAGGCCAAGGTCGCGCTGGCCACACGCAACTCGCCGGCCGCGGGTGCGCTGCGCTGGGGGCGGGGACGCTGGGCGCCTTGTTTATGCCTGCACTGCCTGATGAGGGCGCTGTTTCCGCTGGTTTCGGCGCCTGCTGTCGCGAGGGATGCGCGTCGACGGCGGCACACACACGATGCCCACAACACGCGCGTGCACGCGCGTGCACATACACACATACACACATGGGTGCCGCACGCACATGCACGATCATGGTCTTTTGAGACACATCCATCCACAATCACCCTGCGCCAGCGGGGGGTTCGAACGCGGCAGCCCCAGTCCCAAACGCCCTAGTGCGCCCCCCCCCCCCATCTCACCAGACCCCCAGCCGCTCACCACCGCTCACCTTGCAGCCGCCCATTTACAAGTCTGCTCGCATGTGCAATCTGCACGCCCTGCACCCTCAGCAACCTGCACCCTCCGCAACCTTCACACTGTGCAACCTGCACCCTCTGCAGTCTGCATCCTCTGCAATCTGCACACTCTGCAACCCCCTCACTCCGCTATTCACTCTCTCCCAACCCCACGCGCCCCCCAGTCGTTGTCGATGACAACTTCAGCCCCATGGGCCTGGTGTACCTGGAAGACATAGAGGCAGAGTTGGTCAAGGACGAGCTGCTCAACCAGGTGAGTCACCAGATCCAGATCCCCAGATCCAGATCTCAGATCTCGGGGCTCCAATACGATGTGATGGTGGCCTTCGGTAGAGGGGCTGGTGGTGACGTCTGGGAAGCTGTTGGGACGCCACAGGTTTTCGAAGTCAGGATGGAGGAGCCTTCAGGAAGGGTCCCACTGGGGACTCAGTGGGGCACAGGCTCATTTGTCCGGCGCATGGCTGCGCGGGTAGTCGCAACTAAGCGCGTCTGTGTGCGATATGGGTTGGGCCGCAACGCAGCTACCCTTGGCCATCACCCAAGTGCGGCGCCCCAGCCCCATTTGATGAATTCAGCCGGCCTTGGACCCCGCTGCCTTCGCTTGCCCTGCAGGCCGACAACAACTTCAACAGGGCCCCCTGATATGATCCACCCCACCGCCGCGCGCGTCCGGCAGCAGCGGCGCGCCCAGCAGCAGCCACGGCGTCGCGCGCGGCGCGCGGCCCGCAGCGCATCAGGCGGTGGCAGGCGTCAATGGCCGGAGGGCCATCGGGCCGCCATCACATCACCATATTTGTACTGCCAATGCGTCGAGCCTCGAAACTTTGGACGGATTCAGTCCAAGGCTATTGGCTCCCTGGTTCTCATTTCATTGCCCCGCCGCCTAGAGCCTGGGGCGGCAAACTCTGCTCTGCTGGGGGTTGCCCGGCTGCGTTGAGCTGGGAATGTCATTGTCTGGGGGCAGAGTGTCTGGGCATGGCAGGGGGGTCGAGCGTTCCCCTGATTTGGAGCTGTGGAGCTGCCTTCGGAGAAGCTGTATCATGCGCGCCCACCTCTGGACATGCAGCGGATGGGGCGGCGCGGGCGTGGCGACTGGGGATCGCCTGGGATCGATTGATGTGGTGTAGGCGGCGCGCGGCTGCATTTTGCGCGCGCGCCGAGACAGGCGGGCCGGGACCGGATGATGTGTCGTCGGCGGCGGCAGCCCCGCAGCAGGTGGTATTTGCGGGCCCCCGCGCGGCCCTGCGTTACAGGGACGGCGTGCAGAGCGCGCCCGTTTCAACGTGGCGCGGCGCGCAGCAGACAAGGCCTGCTCACAACCAATGCAGCCAACCCACTTACTGTCTCCATCGGTGCTGCCGCTGGGTCGAAGCCTGAGCGCCACTCGCGGCTGAGCCGCCCGCGCGAGCCCCTGGATTCAACGACTACAGCTGCCAGCCGGCGCCCTGGCACGCCGCGCCGTGTTGCGGCGTGTCCGGGCATGCTGCGCGGCTTCTGTCACCGCTTAGGGCTCTGCCTGCCTGCCCTCATTTGTACACACAACAGCGCACTTGATTGGCCCCGGCTTGCGGGCGGGCCGCAGCGCACGGCTGCGCTGTAGGGTGACTCTGGCCATTGGGCCAGGGGTTCTTTGCTGGTCAAAGTTGTTCATGCTGCGGCGTAGTGCTCAGACTTGGCTGCTCAGGCGCGCGTGCGCAGCGGATCCAGCTCTTCAGCTTTGTTCTGTAACCAAAAGCCGATTTTATCACACCGCCGTGCCCACGACCCAGCCGTGTTATGGAGACGACGCGGGCGCTGCGCTGCGGGGTCGCTGGCGCTGCTACCGCCTCCAATGTTGGGGCCGCCTGTTTCTACGGTTTCGTGCTGCATGCTTCCTGAGTGATGACAGCTGCACCAGATCGCTGGGAACCCGCATCCAACTTACAGTGCGTTTAGTTCACAAGGGCCCTTTTCTACCGCTTCACAACAGCGCCTGGCCACGAGATCTGTCCTGGACAGTGCAAACCAGGCTTGCGCCAGAAGCCCCTGCAGACATCGCTTCGCGCACAGCCAGCAAACTTGCACGTGAAGCACTGCTCTAGTTGCCATGGCGTCGATCACTGGAGAGGGCCGATGCGAAACTGCTGCTGTCATGCAGGTGACACCGAGTGTCGCCGCCCATGTTGAGCTGGGAGCCTTCACTCGCTGGTTATCCGGGCACGGGTCTATCAGATATACATCGCGTCAGGAATAGCACCATACAATTTGCGACCGGAACGGCGATCGGATCTCGGCGCCGGAACTGTCCGCGGAAGCACCAAGGCTGATGATGGCGGCTTGGTGTCATGATATCGCATACCAAGCGCCATGTAAGCACCTGCAGCTGCCGTCGCTGCGGCCGCAGCTGACGATGTCGCAGCGGCGCACTTCTGGGCGGCGCTTGCACACGCCCCCTGCCTGCACCGCCGACAGCGGCCTGCCATATCAGCGTTTCTCGGGACAAACCAATGCTGCGTCATCTGGCAGCTGCGGCGACGCCGGCAGCAGCTGCGACGCAGCTGCAAGCCGCAGCGGCCACGGCCCCCTTGCTCGCCTGCGCGCTCTGGTTGCGCAGCACGGCGCCGGCGCCGTGTTTGCTTACCTCACCCTCAGCAATCTGATGTCGTGCGGCGCGCTGGCCGTGTCGTGGGCGCTCTTCGTGCGCGCGACGGGCCAGAGCCCGCTGGCTCAGGGCGCGTGGCCCAAGTTCGCGCTCGCATGCACACCGCTCTACCTATCAGGTGCGGTGCGCCCCTGCGGCGCCTGCAGACGTGCAAACGCATGCGCGCCCCTCCCGCCGCCGCGCCGCCCCCTCTTAGCCCGGCGCCGCACGCCCGCTGTGCTCGCCCAACTCCAAATGTGACCTTCTCCCCCTTGCTTTTCAACCCGCACACCATCCACATTGGACGTGTCGGCCCCTCAACAGTTCAGGCCACCCGCCCGGCCCGCTTGGCCGCCGGCCTCGCTCTGGCGCCCGCTGGGGAGCGCCTCCTCTTCTGGCTGTCCGCGCGGCTGCGCGTCGGCCGGCCCGCCGCGCTCGCCGCCGCGATGGTTGCGGAGGCGGCGCTGCTGCTGGCCGGGCTGGCGTTCGTGGCGCTCGCCGCGGGCGGCGCGCGGTGACGGACGCGCCCGCTTCGAAGCGGCGCACGCCTCTGCGTCGTGGTCGCCGTTGTTCGATTGCGGGGTCGCAGTCTTGACAAGGAAAGGCCGCTGGAAAACGCGGAAGTTTGTGTTTAAGAGCACTGTCGCAGTATTGCTGACTAGGCTTGGTGCCGTGAGGCAGCCACAGTCGCTGTGAGCTCCCGTACTGGCGCTGCAACATGAAGACCAGCCAACACCTGAGCCGCGCACCAATTGAACACCTAAAGTTACAAAGGGTGCAGGACCACCGCCGCGGCCCCGGCTGCAATATGTGGGTAGCGGCACGCCTACCCCCTCCAGCCCACCGCCGCGCCGAGGGGCGGCGCGTCCAGTTCGCTGGCTATAAACGCTACCTGGGCCGCTGCCGCGTGCCAGCCAGCCCCGTGATCTGGGCCCTGGGCCCCTCAGTCCCTCTTGAGCTCTAGCTCTTCGCGCTTGATGCCGTCCTTTGTGATGATAAGGATCTCCACGTTGTCGCCCTGGGCGGTGTTCGTGTGAGATTGTGTGGCATTTTGTGTATGCGTGTGGGTGTACGCGTGCATGCATGCATCTGTGTGTGTGTGTGTGTGTGTGTGTGTGTGTGTGTGTGTGTGTGTGCACGCACTGCGTGCGTTTGCGTGTGCGTAGGTGTGTGTGGGCGGGCGCACGCGTGCATGCTTGTGAGGGGCTGCTGTCACGGCTGTGAGTGGTTGCAGGCCGGAGAGGGGCATGACCACAAGACATCGCAGCCCGCGAGACAAACCCAGCCCCGACACGGACCGCAGCCAATCACCCACGCTTGCACACACAGCGCATGCGCGTGCACGCACGGCGTGCGTGCGTGTGTATGTGTGGGTGTGTGCGCGAGCGCACCGTGTAGATGTCCCTCTCCCCTGCGCTGACGAAGGCGTCCTTCACCAGGTCAACAGCCTGCTCCAGGGGCAGCTCCGTGACAGAGTTCTGGGGGACACAGACACAGGAAGAGGGAGAGGGGGAAGAGAGGGCATGTGTGTGTGAGTGTGTGTGCGTGTGCGTGTGTGTGCGCGCGCGCGCGTGTGTGTGTGTGTGTGTGTGTGTGTGTGTGTGTGTGTGTGTGTGTGTGTGCGTGTGCGTATGTGTGTCTGCGTGTGCGTGTGTGTCTGTGAGTGTGTGTAAGTGCGCGTGCGCACGCGCATGGAAGCGGGAGCTACTAAATAGAATAGTAATTTTGCAACTGCCAGCTCCACAAGCCCCGCCGCGGTTGCCCCAGGCAATGACCCTTGCAACTGCCGCGCTGCTGCGCTGCCACCAGCTGCCTGGCCGCTGGCCAGTCCCCTAGCGGCCCAGGCCCGCCGCCTCAAGCCCCTCAGAACCCCAAACCCCTTCTCCTCTCCAATCCCCCCTCCTCAGCCTGCAGCACTGCAGCCGCCCCTCGCCCCCGCGCCGCCCCCACAAACACGAGCGAGGGCCACCCACCCGCGGCGGCAGCACCAGGGGGCTGGCGGCCTTGAGCTGGTTGTCCAGCACCGGCTGCATCAGGTCCTTGCCGCTGCCCTGGCACGAGTAGCCGGTGCGCTCGTAAGACCCGATGGCGTCGTACGTGTACACCGCGCCCCTGCCTGTCAAGGTGTGAAGACCGCGGGCGCGAGTGATTGTGGGAAGCAGCGACGAGGGCGAGGGTATGGGGAGCTGGGAGCGGGGCGGCAGAGGTGAGGAGGGGGCATGCTTGGTGCGGTGGGGGCGGCGCTGGGGGCGGCGGAGACGCGCGCGGCCGGTGCGGCAGCATGCAGCCGCAGCCGCGCGGGGCAGGCAGGATGGCCGGCGCGAGGGCGCGGCGTTCAACACATTTCAAGGCGGGGAGCAGGGCAGAGGGGCCGCGCACCCTCCTCGTCGAGGCCGGCGCAGATGTTGAATGTGTAGAATGGGAAGAAGCGGCGGTGGTAGAGCGTGTTGGACAGCAGCTGCGCGGTGGCTGGGCAGCTCATGGGCCGCCCGTGGCTGTGCTGGTACGTCACGTTGCGGGACTGCGATTTGGGGGAGTGGGCGCAGTGCATGCATGTGTATTGGATGAGAAGGAGTTTGGTTTTACGGGTTGTTCGAGGCGGAGGGGGGGAGGGACGTGTGGCAGAGGGAGCGTGGGGGGGGCGAGGGAAGCTGGCTGGCGCCGGCTTGCATAAAACACAAGTGCTCCACGATCCTATGGCAGCTTCAAGAAGGGTGATACGATAACACCAACAAGCGGTCGAGCCAACTGCTGCATTCCAGGCTGCCGCGCCTCCCCAAGAATACGCCGGGCCACCCCGCCACGACCGCAGCCGCCCCCGCGACGCGCCCCCGCCGCGGCGCAGAGGCGCTGCGCGAGCGCCCTGCGACCGACCATGAACATCTTGTGCAGCGCCTTCATGTCCGCCTGCATCCCGGCTGACGCGATCACGCATTTGTCCGTGCTGGTGTTGATGGGTGGGGGGAAGGGGGGCGGCACGGGCCGGGTCACTAGTGAGCGGCGGCGCAGCCAGCGGGGCATCACTTGCAGGCCAGAAAGACTCATGCCATAACATCCGATTGGCTGGGGTGCACATCGCTTAAGAGCCGGCTGGCCGTGCTCATCAGTTGAGGGCCGCTCGCCTGCAGTCGCACCCGACCACAGCCCAACAGCTGTGGCCTTTGCGAGCTAGCCCCCTCTGCAGCCGGCGCAGCTACTGGCACCGCCGCCGCAACCACAGCCGCTGCTGTGTGCCTCAAGGGCGCGACCCCGCCTCCCCGTCCTTCCTGGTTATGCCGGCAGCCCAGCACGCGCTCCACAGAGGAGTGCGCGGCTGCATGGCGCAGCAATCATGTGTTGCATGCAGCGGCCTGTGCAGCTGCCGACCGACATGCGGGGCGCTCGCACATGCAAAGCCCAGCACTCACAGGGTGAGGATTTTGGAGGAGCGGCGCGTCATAATGCTATACCCCGTAGACATGCGCATGCTGGCCGCCACGATGCAATAGTCCGCGCCCGCAACCGCCAGCGTCGTGCTGCGCAAAAGAGCGGAGCGGCGGCAGCGGCGGCCGGGCCGGATGAGGGTGCAGGCCAAAGGACAGGGCGAAGGATTGAAACGCAATGTCCAGCTGTCTCGGGCACGGCGTGCTGCTTCTGATTGCGGGCGCCCTTCTGAGTGCGGGCGCCCTGATGCATGCCGCATGCCCGGTGCGTGCTATTGCTTGAGCCAGCCGACGGCCCGGCTGGTGCCCCGCATTTCACCGCACGCACCCGCCATTGTCATCGTATCTGCAATACAGGTGGGCGGTATGGTGCAGGGAGGTTGGGGCGACCGCATTACATGAGCGACGAGCGCGCTGGGCGGCGCACAGCAGCGCATATTTCAGATGACGGGCAGCAAAACTCACGGGCTCCATGAGGCGTGCTGCTTGATGCCGGATGCTGCCGCGTGCTTTGGCACGCCCGCTGTAAGCAGCGTGGCCATGGATGCTCGCGCTTGCTCCTCCGGGGCCGGCAAGCTCCTATCAGGCTCCCCGGACGTGCCTGAGATCTATGATAAATGAGTACAAATAGATCCCGCAGCAGTAGGAGGCACAAGGAGCACACCCAGCTGGTGATCTGATTACTTTGATCTGTGCAACGTTGTGGTATGCTGAGGGATTGATTTGTTGACTTGAGCTGCAGAGACATATGCATGTGCAATCATTCAATTGCTGCATACGGTACCGTGGACAACGCGATCTAGCTGCCACACCTGCATGCGAAGCTACGGGTGAAAGGGACTTCAAGAGGAGTGAAACGTGGGATTTACACAGCGCGTCATGTTGTCAGCCCGCCATCACCAGGCGGCAACAGCGGCGACCCGCCCGTCGTCGGCGGTGCTCCAGGTGGCGGCCGCAGCACATCGGGTTGCTGCGCCCACAGCGAGCAGCCATGGGTTTTATCTGCCATCACACGGCCGTACGTGCAGCCAAGCGGGATCAACCAGCCCAGGCGCCGGCCTGTATTCGCAGCTGCGGCAGCTTCCTGGCCGACCACGCCTGGTGGCCACGCCCCGTGCCCCGACCCGCACGAGCGTCGCCGCCAACGGCGCCAATGGCAGCGCCGCCGCGGCCCCCGACGACGGCAGCCCGAGCAGCAACGGCGGCGCCGGCGGCGGCGGCAGCGGCGGTGGCAACGGCGGCAGGGGGTTCGGCAAAGGCTTTGGCTGGGGCGGCTCGGGCGACGACGCGGGCTCGCCATGGCGCGACCCCAGAAGCTGGCTGCTGCTGCTGGCGCTCACACTCACACCGGCGGCATTCCTCGCCGCTTCGGGCGGCGGAGGGGAAAGCCAGGGCCCGGCCGAGGCGGCGCCC